TGTCTAGAGATAAAGCAGTCAGACTTTGCACAGTCATATAGTAGAATATTGGAGAGATATGTCAAATATAAAAATATGTTAAAACATCTAGTGGACAAGATAGTGTTCATGAAGAGATGGAGAAATTATGGCAGAGAGACTAATTATAAGAAACTGGCAAGTGGAAATTCAAGGGGGAAAACACAATATCTGAGATGAAGAATTATTTCAGTGGGCTCATTAGCAGACTTAACATAGCCAAGGAAAGGCTCAGAGAATCAAAGGTTAATAGTAACTACAAAAACTGGAACACATAGAGTGTGAATAAAACAGAACTGCATTCAAGAATTGTGATACAATGTCAACATGTCCAATAGACATGTGAATGGAGTTTCCCCCCAAAACAGGCAAAGAGAATGGGGGAAAGAACTATTTGTAATGATAATGGTCAAGACATTTTCATAAATATTATAATGGAAGACATTAAACCTTAGATCCAAGAATGTGAGAGTCACTGAACAGGATGAATATCAAGTGTGCACGCACATGTGTGTGCGCACACACACACCTAGACACACCATAGTCTATCTGATGAAAATAAAAGATAAAGAGAGACTAGTAAAGGAAGCCAGAAAATGGACAAATACACAGCCAGAAGAATTACAGCTTACTTCTCATCACAAATTGAGCAATGACAGGGAAGGGGCACATTTCACACGTGTGTGTGGGCCATGTGCTCAGTCGTGTCTGACTCTTTGTGACCCTGTGGACTGCAGCCCCCCAGGCCCCCCTGTCCATGGGATTTTCCCCACAAGAATACTGGAGTGGGTCGTTATTTTCTCCTTCAAGGGATCTTCCTGATGCAGGGATTGAACCTTTGTCTCTTGCACTGGTAGGCAGATTCTCTACCACTTAGCCACCAGGGAAGCCCTATTTTTTTTTTAACATACTGAAAAAGAACTTCTGACCCAGATTTCCAAACCCAGCCAAAACATCTTTCAAAAAATGAAGGCAAAATGGTGCTTTTTCAGAAAAACAATAATTGGGAAAATTCATTGTCAGCAGACCTGCCCTATCAGAAGAATTGAAGGAAGTTCTTTAGACGGAAAAAAATTAAACGGAAACTTGGATTCACCCAAAGAAATAAAGAGCTCCATAGATGCTAAAAATAAGGTAAATATAAAACATTTATTTTCTTATTTTCTTCACTATGAAGGATCAATATTTAAAGCAAAAAAGTATAAAAATACTTGCAGGCTTTATAATACTCAAAAATAAAATGTAAAACAACAATAACATGAAGGATGGATAGAAGAAATTAGAAGCACAAGTTTGTAAGTTTCACTAGACACAAAGTGAAATAACATTATTTGAAGGTAAGATGTATAGAAGGCAATGGCCACCCACTTCAGTGCTCTTGCCTGGAAAATGCCATGGACAGAGGAGCCTGGTGGGCTGCAGTCCATGGGGTCGCACAGAGTCAGACACGACTGAAGCAACTTAGCAGCAATAGCAGCAACGTAAGATGTGTTATATTAAAGAACATATTTTAAACTTGTCTAGAGAGCTCCTTGACGTTTTTAAGACTTTTCTCTAATAAGACCATAGTGGAGATAAATTGGAACTTAAATAAAAGATTCCATTAAACCAAAAGCTATCAGAAAAAGAGGGAAAAAAATCAATAAAATACAAATAGTATCAATAGCAACACTCCATCAGGGTTTGGGTGTTTAATCTTATTTGTCCTCTTCCCACCAAACTGCAAATAAAAGTGTTTGCTTTTTGTTTGAAATATTCCCGTCAGTGTTCATTTGGAATTATGGACTGTTAGGATTAACAGGGGGCTTCTCTGTTGACTCAGTGGTAAAGGATCCACCTGCACTGCAGGAGCTGCCGGAGACTTGGGTTCAATCTGTGGGTTGGGAAGATCCCCCAGAGAAGGAAATGGCAACCCACTACATGATTCTTGCCTGGAGAATCCCATGGAAGAGTCTGGAGGGCTATAGTTCATAGGGTTTCAAAGAGTCGACATGACTAAAGTGACAAGCACATATGCACCTAATTAACAGCGACTGGCCTTCCCTTTCATGTGAGAAACTCAGACTTCTCAGATGGAAGCAGGGGTGGACTTGCTGTAAAGCTCAGGTTTTAGGATCGGACCCACCGCGTCTCCAAGACTGAGTCCCAAGCCCCTTTCTCTTCCACACACCATTCAGCTCCTAGCGACAGGTGGTGGCTCCCTTAGCACAGAAGGGCGGTCTGTGCGCTCGTTCTGATTGGACAGTTGTGATTCCTGGGCAGGTGCTCATTTGTGATGAAACACATCTGTGTCTACACGTGCTCATTCTGTAAGCTGTCAGCAGTCTGACCCTGACCCGAGCAGGCTGGACGCACGAGGGGCTCTGTTTCTTCTCCTTCAAGGCCTGGCGTTAGTAGCTCAGCCCTGCTGCTGCTGCTGTGAAGTCGCTTCAGTCGTGTCCGACTCTGTGCGACCCCATAGACGGCAGCCCACCAGGCTCCCCCATCCCTGGGATTCTCCAGGCAAGAACACTGGAGTGGGTTTTTCCCTTTTCCTTCTCCAATGCATGAAAGTGAAAAGTGAAAGTGAAGTCGCTCAGTCGTGTCCAACTCGTAGTGGCCCCATGGACTGCAGCCCACCAGGCTCTTCCGTCCATGGGATTTTCCAGGCAAGAGTACTGGAGTGCCTTGCCATTGCCTTCTCCGCGCTCAGTCATGACTGACTCTTAAAGACCCCGTGGGCTCTTGCCCACCAGGCTCCTCTGTCCATGGGATTTCCCAGGCAAGAATACTGGGGTGAGTAGCCATGCCCTTCTCCAGGGGGCCTTCCTAACTCAAGTCTCCTGCATTGCAGGCAGATTCTTTACCATCTAAGTCAGAGAAGCCCTTTTAAAACCTAAGCATACCTCAAAAATGAAGTTGTTTTGAGGACAGTTGAATAAATAGCTGTAACATGTTTACCAGGACAAGGCACAGAGCTTGTTGCTGTTTTTACTCTTATTTCATGGGTATATATTTTAGTGAAAAATCTGAACTGAAAGGTGTGCAGACTGGAAATACACAATTTAAGGAAGATGTAAAAATATGTTAGTGGATATATATGGCTAGGTCCCTTTGCTGTCCACCTAAAACTATCACAGCTTTGCTAATCAGCTATATACTCCAGTTTAAAATTAAAAAAAAAAATGATAAAGAAAGGGCCAGAGAGTAAAAATAAAAACATGTTAGAAGGTTATGAATATTAGACAATTTTTGACAACTTACTTCAACAATCCTTACATTGTTTGGTGTTCACCTTAATAAGATTAACTCTACAAACACTTTGTATAATCCAAATTTTAAACTGACACAGAGTTAGAACAGAGAAATAACTACCTCTTAAACACACAGAAGATAATGGCATGATCCTCAGAATACTATTAGTGTCCAAAAACAATGATTCAATAAAGAAACTCACAGATGAAAACATAGCATTCTATGTGGCCAAGTAAAAAAACAAATAGATTAAGTAATGAAACAAGGCCTTAGATCCTTGAACAAGATTAATTTCAGTAAGCAATATGTTCATCTTTCTTTTAATGAATTTAATTGCCTGAGAACAAAATGAAATGCAGGTGATTACTATTAAAATATTGTTGGAGCTGAGGTCTGTGTGAGTCATGGATAATATTTCACGGTAATTGTAGACTAATTATTTCAGTAGTACCTCTTTCTATAAGGAGTGAATGAAGAGTCAGAAGCCACAAGATCACTTTGAGAGGAAGAGATGGGCACATTGATCAAATCTAATGCTGCTAAAAATATTAGTGAATTTACTGACACTATCATAAATAAGGTTTATAGTTTCCTATCTACAGATGTTCACCGTATGTATCAAAGCAGTGATTTTTCCAGATATATTCTACATAAATAACATCCACAGTATCATTTTACGCAGTCACTAATGCAATCCCATTCAAATAAATTGGAATAAACTTGCATACAAATGCCGGTAATAAGTAAGGAAATTCAACCGGAATGCAAAACAGCCCTGTGGTTTGTGTCTGGCTCAGAATATTTATCATCAGTTGGAAATCTGGCCATTCAAATACATGCACGCATTTACATCCCAACAAACTGTTTATCTCAATTGAAAGGATCACTTATTAAAGCTTATCCATGTATTTGCTTATTTGCAACTGCTTATTAAACGAGATGAATATCAACATTAAGCATTTTTAGTGCTTGAAAATATGTCCTAAGCTAAACTTCACTCTCATTGGAAATTCTGATTTTGCTTTTACAAGGTTTACCTGCATAATCAAACGCCAAAGTGGATTTGTGAATCTGACCTTTGTCATCCCATTTATCAGACTATTAACTCAGTCTCACATCCATTTTTTAAAAGGTTAACATCTCCTTTGAGTTACCTTCTTCCAATTAAAATGAATAATACACAAATGTAGGCACTGAAGGGGCTGCTCTCTGCTGCTCTCTTTCTAACAGCCTCTGAGACTAGAAACAGAAAGAGCTTATGACCATAATCTATTTGGAAATTATGACTTCTACATTTTTGGATCCTTATCTGAGTATTTTCTACCACTCACAAGAAAAACTAGCAATATTACAAACGGGTATTTTGTACTATTTTTCTTTTCAACACAAACAGCCTGAAAGCAAAGCCAATGTTTTATCTAATTATTCCAGATCCTAACTTCTTCATTTCCCTATAAATTTGTCTTTCACAATATAATTATGTTATACAATATAATATAATAAGATACAGCCTCAATAACAATATATTGTTATAGTATTGTGATATAATTATGTAACAAAATATTAATATTTATGTAATAACAATATAGTTCATAGAGATTGGTTTTGTAACACCCAACTACATGGAACTTCTAAACATAACTTTAGAACAAAATTTCACTGTGTAATAAGGGCAGGGATCCATTTCCTCTTTAAGAAAATCACTCAGTGTCACAGGGAAAGCCAGATGCAGAGACAGGGGAGCTTACTTTTGTACTCCAGATGGAAGCCAGCAGCGGCCACGCTGATGTCCGACTGGAAGTGCAGGTAGAGCTGGTTGGATGTGCTATTGAGCAGTGCTGGCACCGTGGTACCTGTGGGAAGGGATGCAGGCTGGGCTTTAATATCAGGGATGTGCTCGCTTCTCTCATTATAAAATCATAAGAATATCACACTAAGTGCTGTAAGTCCGAGAAGGATATATATGATATCACTTATATGTGCAATCTAAAACATAATATAAATGAATCTAATTACAAAACAGAAACTGACTCACAGATACAGAGAATAGATTTAAGTTTCCCAAAGTGGAAAGGGAGGCAGGGAGGGATAAATCAGGAGTTTGAGATTAGCAGATACACATTCACATACAAAACAAACAGACAACAATGATATACTGATATACTGTACAGCACAGGGAACTATATGCAGCGACTTATAATAACCTATGATAGAAAATAACCTGGAAATATACACATATTTAACAGAATCACTTTGCTGTACACTGAAGCAAGTGCCATACTGTAAGTCAGTTATATTTCCACAAAAAAGAAGACACTAATGATACTTGTTTCGGTTTACAGATCCCCTTAGCTTGTCTGATCGTCACATATTTAACCGAAGTATTGGCTTTGATCATTACGGTTTGAGCTACTCTCTTTTTCCAGGCAAGGTGAGAAGTTCCTTTTCTTTTTTTTACTTTGGGGTGGTTTTATTCCTTGCCTCCTGTACAATATTATGGACTCTGTCCATTGCTCCTCAGGCACTCTGTTTACAAGATCCAATCCCTTGAATCTGTTCATCATCTCCACTGCATAACATAGAGGATTTGCTTTAAGCTATACCTGACTGGCTGAGTGGTTTTCACCACTTTCTTTAGTTTAAGTCTGAATTTAGATATGAGGAGCAGATGGTCTGAGCCACAGTCAGCTCCAGGTCCTGTTTTTGCTGACAGGTTCTCCATTTTCAGCTACAAAGACTGTAATCAATCTGATTTCAGTATTGACCATTTGGTGATGTCCATGTGTAAAGCTGTCTCCTGTGTTGTTGAAAAAGGGTGTTTGCTATGACCAGTGCATTCTTTTGGCAGAATTCCGTTAGCCTTTGCCCTGCTTCATTTTGTACCCTAAGGTCAAAAATGCCTATTACTCCAGGTATCTCTTGACTTCCTACTTTTGCATTCTAATCCCCTATGATGAATAGAAAATCATTTTCTCATATTAGTTTTAGGAGGTTTTCTAGGTCTTCATAAAAACTGATCAATTTCAGCTTCTTTGGCATCAGTGGTTGGGACATAGACTTGGATTATTGTGATGTTGAATGGTTTGCCTTGGAAATGAACCAAGATCATTCTGTCATTTTTAAAACTGCACCCAAGTATAGCATTTTGCACTCTTTTGTTGATTATGAGGACTATTCATTTCTTCTACGGGGTTCTTGCCCACACTAGTAGATATAATAGTCATCCGAATTAAATTCACCCATTTTCATCCATTTTGGTTCACTGATTCCTAAGATGCCCATGTTTACTCTTGCCATCTCCTGCTTGACCATGTCCAACTTACCTTGATTCATGGACCTAACATTCCAGGTTCCTATGCAATACTGTTGTTTACAGCATCAGATTTTGCTTTCATCACCAGACGTATCCACAACTGAGCATTGTTTCTGCTTTGACCTGGCTGCTTCATTCTTTCTGGAGCTGCTAGTAGATGTTCTCTGCTCTTCCCCCCTTCACCTTCTGACCTGGAGGCTCATCTTTCGGTGTCATATCTTTTTGCCTTTTTATACAGTTCATGCGGTTCTCACAGCTAACATACTGGAGTGGTTTGCCATTCCCTCCTCCAGAGGCCTGTAATATTGTACAGGAGGCAGTGGATAAAACCATCCACCAAAAAAGAAATGCAAGAAGGCAAAGTGGTTGTCTGAGGAGGCTTTACAAAAAGCAGAGAAAAGGAGATAAGTGAACGCAAGGGAGAAAGGGGAAGGTATACCCAACTAAATCCAGAGAATAACAAGGAGAGACAAGAAGGCCATCTTCAATGAACAATGCCAAAAAAAAAAAAAAAAAAGGAAAACAACAGAAAGGGTAAGATTAGAGATCTCTTCTAGAAAGTTGGAAATATCAAAGGAACATTTCATCCAAAGATGGGCACAATAAAGGACAGAAATAGTAAAGACCTAATAGAAGAGGAAGAGATCAAGAAGAGGTGGAAAGAATGCACAGAAGAACTGTACAACAAAGATCTTAATGACCCAGATAACCACGATAGTGTTGTCTCTCATTCAGAGCCAGACATTCTGGAGTGTGAAGTGTGGGCCTTAGGAAGCACTCTTGCCAATAAAGGTAGTGAAGGTGATGGAATCTCAGCCGAGTTATTTAAAATCCTAAAAGATGAATCTACAAAAGTGCTCCACTCAGTATGTCAGGAAATTTGGAGGACCCAGCAGTGGCCACAGGACTGGAAAAGGTCAATCCTCATCCCGATTCCCAACAAGGGCAGTACTAAAGAATGTTCAAACCACCAGATAAATGCACTCACCTCCCATGCTAGTAAGATTATGCTAAAAATCCTCCAAGCTAGGCTTCAGCATTATGTGAACCAAGAACTTCCACATGTTCCAGATGGGTTTAGAAAAGGTAGAAGAACCAGAGATCAAAATGCCAACATTTGCTATATCACAGAGAAAGCAAGGGAATTTCAAAAATATCTACCTTTGTTTCATTGACTATGCTAAAGCCTTTGTGTGGATCATAACAAACTTTGGAAAACTCTTGGAGAGATGGAAATACCAGGCCATTTTATCTGTCTCCTGAGAAACCTGCATGCAGGTCAAAAAGCAACAGAACTGGACATGGACCAATAGATTGGTTCAAAACTGGGTAAGGAGTGCATCAAGGTTGTGTATTGTCACCCAGCTTATTTAACTTAAATATAGAGTACATCATGTGAAATGCTGGACTAGATGAAGCACAAGCTGAAATCAAAATTGCAGAGAGAAACATAAAAACCCTCAGATAATGGATAATACCACTCTAAAGGCAGAAATCAAAGAGGAACTAAACAACCTCTTGATGCGGGTGAAAGAGGAAAGTGAAAAAGCTGGCTTAAAACTCAATATTAAACAAACAAACAAACAAAAAACCACCTAAGATCATGGTATCTAGTCCCATCACTTTATAGCAAATAGAAGGGGAAAAGGTGCAATCAATGACAAATTTCCTTTTCTTCGACTCTAAAATCACTGCAGATGGTGACTACAGCCATGAAATTAGAAGATGACTCCTTCTTGGCAGGAAGCTATGACAAACCTAAACAAGTGTTTTAAACAGCAAAGACAGCACTGTCAACAAAGTTCCATATAGTCAAGGCTATGGTCTTTCCAGTAGTCATGTACAAATGTGAAAGCTGGATATAAAGAAGGAAAAGTGCTGAAGAATTGATGCTTTTGAACTGTGGTGTTGAAGACTCTTGAGAGTCCCGTGGACTGCAAGGAGATCAAACCAGTCAATCCTAAAGGAAACCAACCCTGAATATTCATGGAAGGACTAATGCTGAAGCTGAAGCTGCAATACTTTGGCCACCTGATGTGAAGAGCCGATTCACTGGGAAAGACCCTGATGCTGGAAAAGATTGAAGGCAGGAGGGGAAGGGATCAAGAGAAGATGAGATGGTTGGATGGCATCACTGACTCAGCAGACATGAGTTTGAACGAAGTCCAGGAGATGGTAAAGGACAGGGAAGACTGCCATGCTGCACTCCATGGGGTCACAAACACACGACTGAGCAACTGAACAAGAAGAAGAAGCTCCACATTTCGTCTGCCCTCCTCAGACAGATGTGGCATGTCTTCACTGTATCAGTGAAGACACACACATTCTTATGCTTTACCATGCATCTGATTATTCACATTGCTTTTTTTTTAATCAATGTAACCATTTGCTTTTTTTTCCTGACTTGCCATGAACAAAGAAGGGTAAAGCCTCAACATGCAAGTCATATGGAAGTTGGGGTAACAGATTGTAGATCTGATGTGACATGTTATTCAGAAGAGGTTGCTTTTGACCATATATCCTCTTCTTTATCCCTGTGTGATTCATACTGAATAATGTTCCCTCTGAAATCTGCAAGTGATTTCAATGAAACATACATGGAAAGGAAAATGCAGGTTTATTTTACATAATGCTTCCTTTAATGAAAATGTTCTAGCCTGCATTGTAGCAACAGACAAGTAGGGAAATTTAGAGATGCTCAGGACGAGGGTGAAAACAGGGCCGTGGAGCTGCCAGGTCCTGAGGAAAAGGAGATGTACTCCAGCCAGATGTTTAGACTGCATTACCAGGATGCATTATAATATGGGGAAGCAATAAGCTGGCCCAAGTCCCTTGTTACCCAAGGGGCGCATGCTTGATATTCTACTGTATCCAAGTCATTTTCTGAATAAATACACATTTCCTATGTGTGAAGGAGCCATCCCTCAGGTAAAACTCCTCCTCGTGGTGCAGGCAAATTCATGGATGATGATGATGCTAATGTATAAATATTATACATTATAGACATGCATAGTATAAATACTATTTTGAATAATAAAACAATGAAATAAGCTGGTAATTATCCAAGACAGATGAACAATGTTGCAAGGGCAAGATCCCCAGTTACCCTTCACTCTCTACTCAAACAATTCTACGACCTTCCAACAGGTGTAAGCAAACCAACAACTCCAGGTAAGGACTGAATCCTAAAAATAGATTAAGGATGTCTCATTAACCTTGGATTAGCATGCCATCTTTCAGAAACTCTTCGGGTTTATAAGAGTTCACTCTCAGTTTGACAATGTGTTGGGACTAGTCATGTGTATACTGGCTGGGTCTTGGGCTAATCAGGAAGCAGAGTGTTACTTGACTGCTTTGGGAGAACAGGGATAAACAGAAGGCAAAAGAAGACACCAGGTACACTCCCTAATGATTGTGTGTGTGCACACTTTGGAAGACAGATTTCCCACTTGAGATCTGGGGCCAGTGCCTCAAACCGATTTCCCTGAATATCCAGGTAGGATTGTCAGTGGAAGGGGAGATCTTTTCAGACCTGAACTG